TGCACTTTGATTGGCTTTCCAGTTGCCCACGCGTGATACCCAGTTGGTTGGTTTGTTACGGCGTCTGTTATCACCTGATCCCCTCGCCTTCGGCCGCGAGCGCAGTTTGGTCCCCGCCTCTGTAACAGTACTCATTTACTTCGGGTAGAAATTAATTCCTGAGGGAATTCAACGGCTGAACTATGCGATTATATTGTTATCTGCTACCGCCTAAATGCCTACCAAATAACCGTATGTCCTCCGTCAGGAGAAAATGGCCTAAATCAGCACATAGCCTGATGCCCCACGATCACGTTTGCGCAGAATTTGAAGTGCCATAGACTGCTCGCTTTCTTACCAGTTAAATGACCTTAATTGTACTTAGAAACATGTATTTTCCCTTAGTCAAACACACCGGCATCTTTAGCGGTCGTATTGAATTGTATACCAAAGTAAAATAAACATTCAGAAAAAAGTCCAGATCAAAATTTGTCACAGTAGCTCCGTTGCTCAAAGACGGTGTTTGCAGGCAAAAAGTCACCTGTGATTGGCTGTTCAGGAGACGGCGAACGCTGACTGGTTCCACGGTGCTCATAAATACCGAAGGACGATTGAACACGCATTCTGAATCTTATTGCATAATGGCTAATCTCGGTTATGCGAGCACCGTTGGCGGTGTCACGAAGATTATCAATTTCATCATCGGACTGGTGGTCATGATCATCGTAGCTGCCCGTATTAATGTCTACTGGGGTGAGGGTGGCTACATGCTGTTTGCGTCCATTTTCGCGTGGGTGTTTGCATTGGGACTTCTCCTTCTACATATCGCGGATGACACCGAGAGAAGAGCCGTTGATATCTTTGTAAGTACAAACGCATCTTTCTTTTTATAAAGTTGGTTTTGAATGAGAGTCAAGTAAAGGCGGTTCATCGTGTCTGTTATGTAAACGTTTTCTTGCAATAACGCATCGCTGTATCCGATGCAGGTAATATAAGTCAGCTGCATAGTTTTGATGTAAAATATAGTGGATATTGAAATGGCAATTTCCATTTTTTCACCCCCATCGGCCAGTCATACCCAGGCTCTCGAGGCTCGAGCTCGGGAAATTTTTCACCAAAAGTCTAATGCTATAACCAACGTGCCACGAACTCTGTGTCTTGCCGGTTAAGATCGGTAGATATTGACAAAAGTTTAACTGAAATGCAAATGAACCCAGGTATTTATGCCGTTGGATTTGCCGCACGAGACCATACATTATTTCAAAGGATGAATTCAAAACACTCTAGTACCCATTACCTCTGCAGTTCGACATAAAACATAAATGCCTACGCTGAGGACAGATGACTGCCATTTTATAGTCGAAGCATATGATGAACGCCTCCCGTTAAACTGACTAATTGCCGACAGTACTGAGCGCAGTATGAAATCAATTTATAAATATTACAGATCAAGGTGTAGTCCGCATGCATTAAGTATGCTTGGAGTTCATTCTCACTAGGAACTAATTGAGCATACAATAAGCAATTGCACGACAGCTGTTTATTGAGGTTAGCCTGTACATCGTTCATTGTGTAAAAGTGAACAATCTTCGGCCTTCAGGCCGATTTCTCATCCAATGAAACTTTCAGTTAGAGATTTACGATGCTGAGTTAGCATTATGACGAAGTCTACATTCGCAGCCAATTTGTACCTGACGCCAGCAGTCCGCAGTTTTTTCTTCATCTTGTCTTTTGATGATTTCTAGAAAAAATTACCTTTGCTTCTTATTTTAGGAAGTGGTAACGCTAGGACTGACCATCATTTTTGTCACTTGTGCGTTTATAATCGCGGCTGTGTTTGCGGGCCAGACAAACCATGGCATTTTAACGGCCATTACGGTAAGTGAAGAGTATTCATTATCTTATTGACTTCAAAAATGCCGCCTTATTAAATTTCCCTAAAAACAAAGTTCTGAATAAGACTAACTTTAACAGTTCACTAATTCAAAATACACATATGTAAGTGATGGTAAAGAGGTGAACCACATATGCCATTTCCAAATGGTAGAAAACATGAAAGACCTTCTAAATCAAAACACCTTTTTTTCCAGTAGTGGTGGCTTGTACACAGAGTCACTTATGTCTACTTACCGACTAGGTAATGGTCCTTTTAGGTAGTGCTAGTACAAACATTCCATTTGAGTAACAGTAGAATCTCTAAATTAAAATTCATTTCGTGGTGAAATGCAAATACATTTAATGAATTAAAATTATAAGACATTCGCTTTGCCTTATAAGTGATTAAAACTGTAAATCTGTGTGTTTTATCGAGTGCCTAACAAGGTTCTTCCTATACCATGCATTTAGTGAAGTAAATATATATTCTTTTAGGTCCTTTTTGCGGTTATTCTTATCGCCGCCGCGATCGACTTTGGCATGCAGTTGAAAAAAGTGCTTCAAGCATAAGCGGAGCTCACTGTGTCCCAAAGACTTACCTCTGCGCTTGACAAAAAGTTGGATACCCGACTTGACACAATTTTATTCTCTCATTTTGTGCGAATAAAAATTTCTTATATTAACGGGGTCTTACTTGAAAAATTAAAACAAGATTAAGAAAGAAAACCTCTCTCTCATGTGTGGCTGCAAAAGTTAGATACCGAAAGGCAACACCCGATAGACTGGATGAACTCGCAGGATGTAAAATGTCAAACGTACTGTGGATATATACGATATACGTATGATATATATATATGTATGGTATGATTATAGGGGGCAGCTAACTGGTGAATAGTGTATATGTATAAGGACAAAACATATCTTAGCAATAAAAGTACGCAGAAACATATACAACTTTACATTTCAAATGATAGTTGTGTGTAATAGCACTTTTAGCAAACTAAAACAGCATCGATGCCGATTAACGGTCTGAAGAACAATACGTTTTAGCAAGTTATTTGAAATTCATCAGGACGTTTTACTTCCGGTCACAATGCCAGTCTGATGATGTCCCCGTTTATCTAACTAATAACTAAGAATTATGCCATATTCGTTAAACGGATCTGCCAAAGAAAGATACCTATTCTTAGTCAAACAATTATGCACTGATCAAGTGAACGAGATGTACGCTGTCGCACTAGAATTCCCACAATTTTTTTCATAACTCCGAGTCATTGATAGCAGTCCAGAGCCCGCGTAATACACAACAATAGCCCGTTGCGATTGGCAAATTCCGTCTTATACGAAATACCAGCTACTGTAATTTATGAATCAAATAACCGTTCTTTTCAAAAAACAATACGGCAGAATTTTGTACATAACTGAATCAGGACCACTGTGCAAATTGCACGCCGTTAGTGGAAGAAAGAAGCGCAAGGTCGTTTGCACTAAGGGAGGTTCCTTTTTCATTGTCTTATGGTTGTTCCGGTAAAAACCATGATTAGCAATATAACGAATATTTTGGTTACTTTTACAGAAGTGTTCTTTATTAGTTTGCGCCTAGGCAGCACGTATCCCAACACTTGTTGATGAATGTTCACCGATCGCTAACGGAGCTCAGTCGTGCCACTTTGACTTGGGTCCCTATTCTCGCGCTCTGACAACAATTGTACGGTGTCCAGTAGGCTAAGCAGATACCATTGTGGAGAAAGAGGAGGAAAACGGAAATGGCCCCTTCTAATGTATTAGTCGTCGTCACCCATTTGTGAACGTTCGGGACTAAGACCAAACGCAGAGGTGGACGAGTAAGTTCCGCTAGCGATTTGTAAACGTTCACCAGCGGGTATCAGTATTTACCAATCTAAACCAGCAAGACGGAGAGTTTGTGCCTTTACGGTAAGGGCGTTAGACTCTTATTAAAAGGTTGCCAGTTGTAGCTCGGGTGTTGCACCACTAGGGTCTGCGTATGACAGGCTGACGGTGGCTACTCAGCCGGAAATGACCAGTTGAGCCTCGTTTGTCTCTGCTTATAGCGCTATCTGCCTAGCAAGTAACGTTGGTAGGGTTGTGTCGTGGGGTCGTCTAGGGAAAGTGTGAAGCGCGCCCCGCAGGCATACGAACAAGTGATTTTTCGGGGAAAGGACGGGCGGGGCATACCATGTAAGAAATTAGAACCCAATTTGAATGCCCAATAAAAAAGGTTATGATGGCAAGTTGGGTCGCGTACTCAAACCTTGGGAGAAGACACTGAA